ACTTATGTATCAGTAAATCCTAAAAGGTATTAGAAGGCAGGAAACTGTGCAGTGTCACTGAAGAATCTGGAGGTACATGACGGTTTCTGTTCACCTACCAGTAGAAGACCTAGAAGCCTGACCAGATAATGGAAAAAGCATGTCTAAAAACTTGTGCTTCCTCTCTAACAGGAGATTAGTTGAATAAATCATGGCATATCCATATAATGAAATGTGATATATGTTGTCAGAGAAGGGAATTGACATGGAAAATGCCCATAATATACTGCTAGGTGAAGAAGTAGGTTACAAGACAGTACACAGACTATGATTCCATTTTTGGTTAATAAATTATACATAATAACACTGAGTTTTAAATATAAGTATATATATGAACAAGGCACTGAACAAAGTGATTTACATTAATTACTTTATCCTCACGACAACCCTAGGGTGTAAGTAGTATTATACTTGTCTTCTTACAGATAAAGAAACTGGGCAGGAAGAGGGTAAGTAATTTGCCATGGTTCACTGGAGTGGCAGAGCTGGGAAACAGACCTAGATATGCTGGACTCTGGAGCCCAAGCTCTTCAGTGACACCATATCTATGTCTATGTTTGTACAGAAAAAAAGTCAAGAGAGAGAAACACCAGGATGTTAACATTAACTGGTTATTTCTGGGTGATGAGATTATGAGTGACTTTTGTTCCCTTTATGCTTTCCTGAGTAGTCTGAACTCTTTGTGATTTACATGGATTATTTATATAATCAGGAAAAACAATAAATTAATTTCCATTTTGAAAAAAGTGAACATCCACTGTTTCCAAACTGTAGGTGGCAAACTACTGGGGAGTGGAGGGGAGGAGTAACTTAATTATTACAAAAGTTCTGGAAATTCCCACATGACCCAAGCATTGTCTAGAATGAATATGTTTGCACATATTTTTTCCAAATGACATGTTGTATATACTGTCATGGTATATACTCTTTGTGCTTGTGTTTATTCCATATTTCTCAATCAATGAATATTAAAAATACTACTATTATAATATGGAAGTCCATAAATTTTAAACACTAAAATAAAGGATGAGATCTGCTGCTACAAGGAAAAATATATGTATGGGCCAGCACTGTAGCCTGAGTGTCTTCTCGCCAACTTACCACCTTTTTCTCAGAAGCAATGGGAGGAAATAGAGGGGGGAAACTGCAGAGGCACAGATTATTAAAAGTTAATCCAGGGTTGCGGAAGGGGAAGTGGGTGGGTGGATGGGATAACTGGGTGACGGGCATTACGGAAGGCACATGATGTGATGAGCACTGGGTATTATACGCAACTCATGAATCAATGAACACTACATCAAAACTAATGATGTAGTATATGTTGGCTAATTAAATTTAAATGAAAAAAATAAATAAATTACAAAAAAGCCTTTAAAAAAAAAAGTTAATCCAGAAGTCCCAGGAAAAGGTAAGTTAGAAGGATGAGAGAACATGGAGAGGGAGTTGATATTGGCTCAGAAAATTCTATTATGGAAAGACAGAAGGCTAAATCTCCCCTATATTACCAGAGGCTAGTCCCCACACTCAACCACAAGGATGTCAACACCTATATAGGCTGTGATGTTGCAATACCTGAGTGCTAGCCTTTGCTCAAGGGCCAGGCTGGTATCCAATCAGCAGAAAGACATGGAGTGGCGAGGGCCCTCCCCATCTTCTGCCAAACCAACTCAAAGGTCAGCAGCTGCCTTTCCTTTCTCTCATTCTTCCTTTCCCTTTTGAAATGTGTCCCTTATCTTCGATTTCTGCACAACTTCTTGGCCCCCTCTCAGGTCTCCAGGTTACACTACTCCCTAGGACTCCAGTGATTTCATTACCCATAAGAAACCATCCTGATCACAAGATCTCAAATTAAGATACTCACTCACTGATCATTCATTCAATAATAAGGGCCTTAGGGGCAGAGGCCCTGACAAATTAGGTATAGTCCCTACCCTTTTAGAAGCATACAGTCTTCAGGTGTGAAAAGCAAAAAACCAACGAAAATAAAATCAAACTTACAATTCCATTTGCTTCATTGGGCATGAAGTTACAACACGGTAAGAGACAGGAGTCAGCGCGAGGAATGAGGGCTTTGTTTTCCCCTTCTCATTTTAGCCTGTATTTGGGATTCACTTAGGGACAAGGCCCCACACCATCACCCTTGCTTAGTAGAGCAGGCACCGAGGCCTGGAACACTGGCTTACTCTAAGGGAGAACAGTCTTCAACAGACCAATGACATGGGGAAAAAAAGACGGTGGGAAGGAGGATTGTTCTCTATTAAAAGCAAATTTAGGTTTTGCCAAAGGACTCAAAGCTGAGTCTGATCCAGTCCTTGAATCCAGATGCCAATCTTCAGGAAATACAGAGGAACCTACTGAAGTGCACCATGGGCATGCTGTAAACAAAGTTCAGGCTGTGGAAAATTCTCCAGGTCAAATGTGGACTCTTCAAGGTATAAATAACGTCAGAAAAAGAAAGTGATGGAGGAGGAACCTGTAAATGAAAACAGACTTAACCTCTTCAAAAATGCCAAGGTCATTGGGAGAAATCAGAGGGGAAGACAAACCACAAGAGACTGTGGACTCTGAGAAACAAACTGAGGGTTTTGGAGGAGAGGGGGGTGGGGGGGTTGGGTGAGCCTGGTGGTGGGTATGATAGAGGGCACGTATTGCATGGAGCACTGGGTGTAGTGCATAAACAATGAATCTTGGAACAGTGAAAAAATAAAATAAAGTTTTAAAAAATGCCAAGGTCATAAAAGGAAAGATCAAGAAAGTATCACAGCTTGGAGGAGACTAAGGAGACATGATTATTCCACGCAATGTGAGACCTGGTAGAATCCTGGAACAGAAAGTGGACATTAGGAGAAAATTTTAGTGCAATTCAAATGAACTCTGATATTAACAGCAATGTACCAGTATTGGTTTCTTACCTGTGATATCTTTACCTTGGTTACATAAGATGTTAACATAAGTGTAAGCTGGGCAAAGGGTACAGGGACTCCACGCTCTCTTGGCAACTCTCCCATAAGTCTAAAACTTTCCAAAATAAAGAGTTTAAAAAGGAAAATTTAAGGAATATATCAATTCTTTCATTTTTTTTTAAGATTTTACGTATTTATTTGTCAGAGAGAAAGAGAGAGCACAGGCAGGCAGAGTGGCAGGCAGAGGGAGACGCAGGCTCGGCACCTGCCGAGCAAGGAGCCCAGTGTGGAACTCCATCCCAGGATGCTGGGATCATGACCTGAGCCAAAGGCATACGCTTAACCGACTGAACCACCCAGCCGTCCCTAGAAACCTATCAATTCTTTTAATGGGTAAGACTATGATAATAAAGCCATAGAAATGCATAGAAAAGATTACTTTAAATGTTAAGATAGGGTGGCTCTGTTGGTTAGGCATCTGCCTCTGGCTCAGGTCATGATCCTGGAATCCCGGTATCGGGCCCCTCATCAGACTCCCTGCTCAGTGGGGAGTCTGCTTCTCCCTCTGCCCCTCACCCTGATCTCATGCTCTCTCTCACTCTCTCTTGCTCTCTCTCAAATAAATAAAATCTTTTTAAAAATGTCTAAACTATCCAAAGCAATCTATAGATTTAATGCAATTCCTATCAAAATACCAACAGCATTTTTCACAGAACTGGAATAAACAACCTTAAAACTTATATGGAACCACAAAGAACCCAGCTAGCCAAAGCAATTTTGAAAAAGAAAAAAAAGTTAGGATAATGGTTATTTGTGGAGGAGGAAGAGGGTTATGACTGAAATGGGGCACATGAGAGTCTTCTGGGGTTTTATTTCTTGATGTAGGGGTGGCTGCAAGGTATTAGTCTTCTAAATATTTATTAAGCCATACATTTATTTTAGCTGGTTTTCTGTATCTATATTTTATTTTATAATGAAAAATTAAAAAGAGAGAGGAGTGCCTGGGTGGCTCAGTCGTTAAGCAGTTGCCTTCAGCTCAGGTTATGATACTGGGGTCCTGGGATCGAGTCCCGTCTGGGGCTACCTGCTCAGCGGGGAGCCTGCTTCTCCCTTGCCCACTCCTCCTGGAATACTGGAGGTACTCTTCCTGCTTCTGTCCCCTCTCTCACTGTGTCTCTCTCTGTCAAATAAATTTTTAAAAGTCCAAAAAAATTAAAGAGAGAGAGAATTAAGAGACATAACTTTCAAATACAATCAGTAATACTAGTTTGGATCCTGATTCAAATCAACCAACTGTAAAAAGACATTTGAATGGGGACTAGATATTAGGTATTATTCAAGAATTACAAAATTTGTTAAGGGTAATAGTGGCATCACTTTGGAAGAAAACATTCCTATTTTTGTATGCACAGTGAAGTATTTAGGGGTGAAATGACATGATATCTTAGAATTGCTTTAAGATACTTCAAGAAAAAAAATCGGGGCAATATATGGAACAAGTATAGCAAAATATTAGTAATTATTGAAGATGAACAAAAAACATAAACACAAAGATAAAAATTTGTTGCATTGCCTAGTTTTGTGTGTATTTGAAATTTTTGTAGTAGCTAGTTAAAAGAGGGGGACATCCCAAGCCAGACTGCCTGAGGGCAATAGTCTCAACAAAAAACTAATCTTGGGTCCTCCCCCACCCCACAAACCTCCCAGAGCTCCCTCCCCACTCACCACCTCCTTGAGATCACAACCCCTGTAGTCTCAGAGAGTGGTCTGTGAAAGGTATTTTCCTTCTTTCGCTCTCTGAGTCCCTAGGACTAGATGGCAATCCTTCTTACCTTTCTTCATCCTGATGTCTTAATAATCTCAGGAAAGAGTCAAAGGGCAAATGACCAGGGCCCAGGGCTCACACCTGATAGGGCAGTCCTTGGTACTCCAAAGCCTGCCTCTTGCAGTGGGTCGTAGGTGTGGGGCAGGACAAAGAAGGTAAAGGGCACGTGAAAATCCTCCTGACCATATACATTCACTATCCAGCAAGCTTCAAGAGGCTTTGTGGCACCATTGTTTGGAAGAGTGTTCTGGGATCTTTGTCTTCCTCGGGCTCCTGAGCAACATGCCTTGTTTCAAGCAGCCTACGCACTTCCAGAGTCTGATACTTCTGCAATGGCCCTTGAGCTACCTTGCCATATGTGAGTACTGATCCTACAATGCACGGCAATAAGCCAGTGTCAGAGGCCAGGGCCAGATCTGGGGTGAATTTCATGCTCATGGGAAGTCTCATGTCTAACTTTTGATCATCTCAGATGGTATTACAGAGTAAAGTCAAGGAGTCTTGAGTCTTACCAGTGTCCTGGAGAAGGAAGAGATAGAGCCACAGGTGGTGGTGAGAACAGGCAGAGGGGTAGAACAGGGTCATGATGGATATGAATAGATCTGGCTAATTTCAGCCACTTCTTAACCCTCACAATCTGGAAAGGGGAAATGAAGCCCAAGGAATAGGCATGATACGCCCATAAGCATAAGGAAGCATCGGGAGTGGGGCAGAAGAAGCATTAGAATAACGGACTTGGAGAAGTACAGCCTGTGTTTAAACCATAGAGTTTTCCATTCTGGGAGGGGCTAGGGTGGTAGCATGTAGGGAGATAGTGATAATGAAAGGAATGGTGAATGAGCAAGAGGATAAGAATGGTAAATGGGGCGGGAGGTACCTGGGTGGATCAGTCTGGTAAGTGTCTGTCTTTGGCTCAGGTCAAGATCCCAAGGTCCTGGGATGGAGCCTACCCCAGGCTCTCTGCTCAGTGGGGAACCTGCTTCTCCCTCTACCTGCCACTCGCCTGCCTGCTTGTGCTGGTGGCAGGCAGGGAGCAGGAGTAGAGGGATGGTGAGTGGACAGCGATGATGGGGAATTAGAAATAGGGCTGGTATATGGCAGATGATAAAGGAAATATCTGAAGGACAAGCAGACATGGATGCTGGATGGGCAGGAGCTGGACTGTGCAGAAGGCCATGACCAGAGCCTTGAATATTTCGGAGGGCTCTTAAGGGGGGTGTACCTGGGCAAGTTCTGTTGGCAGCACAATTCTGACCTGACCTGCTCCCTCATCAGTTTGGATCTTGCAGCCATTATTCATTTCCTTGCTGTTTACATCCTTGTGGCCACTGCCAGTGCTGTACTTTACCTGGTTTTTCCTGGACTGGAAGACTCCAGAGCAAGGTAAGACCCATAGACCTAGAAAGAACACGGCCTAAGAATGTTCCAACTTAACCTATGACCAGGGAGTCCCACTCACTATGCCACAGGCCTCTCATCCAAGTTCTCAGAGTCACAGGACCTGGGCCAGCCAGGACTGTCTTGGGGTCTCTTCCTTTTCTACCTCTCTAGCAGAGCCATGGTCCCTCCATGCTATTAGGAAAGCCCCGAAAGAGTGGGAGGGATGGGGTTGCCACACACAGACACCATCCCCCACTGATATTTCTGTCTCAGGTGGCAGGCGTTCAGCCTGGGTAAGGAACTGGTGTGCCTGGACCCACATCAGGGACTATTTCCCCATTACGGTAAGTGTCTCTTTCCCAGCATCCCCCACAGTTCCCAAGATACTAGGCATTTATGCCAAATTACTAAGGTTGTCCATAAGGAAAAGAAGACTACCAGAGAAGTCTCAGTGCAGCCTAGACATACTTCAAAACCTGACATTGCAGCTGGGGACTCGCTGCTCTGCCAGCATACTTTGGACGCCTTTAGCATGACCTACCAGATGACACAGACAGAAACGCAAATACAGTTGTTTAACAGACATTGATTGAAAGCCTACCCTACCACATGTTAGAGGTACAGAGAAGTGAGTAGGATGTGATCTGTCAGCAAGGTGCTCCCATCTAATAAGAAGGACAGACAAGTATGTATTTATAGTTTGGTATGGGTACACAAGTAGTTCAGAGTTGGGGTAAGGAAAAGCTTCACAGATGTGGTGATATTTTGGCAGGGTTTTCAAGTTCAATGGCAGACACTCAGGCAGAAACCGGAAGGGGTTTGGGTGGAGAAAATAACAGGAATACAATGTAGAAATGTACTGCTATGCTGATCCTCAGAGCATTCTTTGGAGTAGACAACTAACACTGCCCCGATTTTTAGACCAGAGCTTGCCGATACCATGAGTAAGGCGCACTGAGCCAAATGGCCGAAACTACTTGCAGCCAGCCATGGGGAAGAGGTCCAGCAGTTCTAGCTGGCCCGGATCCTACCTGGTTTTCCAGGGGCTGAGGAGACCCATATCTTGGCCCCCTGAAACGCCCTCATGGCCTAGCAGTTGAAAAGCTCTGCTTTAGGGGCACCTGGGTGGCTCAGTCTGGTCATGACCCTAGGGTCCTGGGATTGAGACCTATGTCGGCTCCCTGCTCTGCGGAAAGTCTACTTCTTCCTCTCCCACTCCCCCTGCTTGCATTCCCTCTCTCGCTGTGTCTCTCTCTGTCCAATAAATACATAAAATCTTGGAAAGAATGAAGAAAGGAAGGAAGGAAGGAAGGAAGGAAGGAAGGAAGGAAGGAAGGAAGGAAGGAAGGAAGGAAGGAAAGAAAGAAGGAAGGGCAGCTCTGCTTTAGAGAACACCCTGATCTCTGAAACATCTTCAGCCTTGCTTCTTCACGTGATCTCATTCCACCACGTTTGGCACTTCTCTCCATGACTGCAGATCCAGAAGACTAAAGACTTGTCGCCGGAGCACAACTATCTCATGGGGGTTCACCCTCATGGTCTCTTGACCTTTGGAGCCTTCTGCAACTTCTGCACTGAAGCTACAGGCTTCTCAAAGGTCTTCCCAGGCATCACTCCCCACCTGGCCACACTGTCCTGGTTCTTCAAGATCCCCTTTGTCAGGGAGTACCTCATGGCCAAAGGTACTTTGGACCATACTTACTGGAGCTTCTGACCCATTTTTTTCTGCTGGGAGACACACCTTCTTAAGGCTCATCCCCTACCTCTCAACCACCTCTCACCCATTCCCATCAGAGCATAGTAGTTAAAAGCATATGTTCTGGAGCTAAACTGTTTGGGTTTGAGTCCCAGCTCTGCCACCTACTGTGTGGTCTTGAGCAAGCTACCCATCTCACTTTCCTCATCTGTAAGGTGAGGCTGACGATAACAGACCAACCTCAGATTTGATGTGACAGTTAAATGAGAGCATACAAGGAAAACATTCACTATAGTGTCTGCCACAGAGTATATGCTCAGTAAAGAATAACTTTTGCTATTTAGTGGCAACAGAGGAAAAGAAAAGAGTAAGATTATAGTTGAAATTCAGAAAGTCCTTCTGGTTATTCCACTGGAAATCTTCCCACTATAGTTTCAACCTAGCGCTTCCTATGAAGTGGAGATATTGCCTCCAAGTGAAACATGTTGGGTTTGCCCTTTTCTCCCCACCCTTGTCCCCATCTCATTGATTTTCCTTCCGAGACTTACGGGAACACAGGGTGCATAGACAGGCCAATGGGGAGTAGAGCAGAGGGTGTTCTCTCTCAGCCATTTCCACCCCTCCTTATATTGCTCCTCTCTCTGCTCCTTGATCCTCTTAGGTGTGTGCTCCGTGAGTCAGCCAGCGATCGACTACCTGCTAAGCCACGGCACTGGCAACCTCGTGGGCATCGTGGTAGGAGGGGTGGGAGAGGCCCTTCAAAGTGTGCCCAACACCACCACCCTCATCCTCCAGAAGCGCAAGGGGTTTGTACGCACAGCCCTCCAGCATGGGTGAGTGTTCCTCCCAGGGCAGGGGGCGTGGCCTTCTCTGAGCAGCATCACCTGTTACATGATGTCAAAATGACTCAGACATGAGTCTTGCCCTCTTGGAACTTACTAGCGCACAAGGGAGATGGCCATAGCATTTTTAAAAGGTTTAATGTCATCCACTCCTTTTAAACTAGCCAGACCAGTTCTCGGAAAGCCAAACCAGAAGCCCAGATTCATTATCATGGGGCTTGGCTAGGGCTCCCAAATATATACAGATGACGCCCACATCACCTCTAGCAAAATCAATATCTGTATCTGCTTGTTAATGTAAGTGCAAGGGGCAGGTTGTACAGTATGGTGAGGATGTGCGCAGAAGCTGAAGTCAGGGACCCTGATCTGAAACCCTGGTTCCATAACTTACTGTGCGTTCTGAGACAGATTACTTAACCATTCTGAGTCTTGGTGTTTTCCTTTTCATGATGCGGCTCTAATAATTGTAACTCCTCCATAGGGTCATGGTGGGGTTTAAATAAAACAACAAATGTGTCTGGCACACAATAAGTGGTAGATAATCATTACCCACTCTAACTGAGGGGTAAAGATAGGAGGTAAAGAGCAGGTGCCAAGATGGGAACTGTGGGGTGCACCATGATGTCAGGAGGCCAGGCCACTGAACACAGAGGTGATTGTCTTATTACAGACTCAGAGAAAAGTAGTTCATCCAAGGGCCTTGCCTGAGTGGCCTGTTCGTCAGTTTGGAACCTAATGTAGGGGAGACAGTTCTGAGCAGGGAGGAAGGAATCCTGTGTTCTAGCCCAGGTCGTGCCAATCACTGACTGCCCAGTGAACTTTCCTCTCAGAACCTGGGCTTGTGGATCTGTAAGATAAAGAAAATACCACCACCCCCTACTGTGCCCTGCACTGTCTCTGCTGTGAGGATCCAAGAAGGCAACATATATCAGAATGCAGAGAGATGCCTAGTAACTCACAAAGATTTGTATAAGAGAGGCCATGCTCTCTGTACTCTCCTCTCACAAGAGGACTTCAGGAGCCTGACTCTCTATCTATGGCCCGAGAGGGACACAAATTTTCTCTTCTGTAATCTCAAGGGACAGAATACTTTATACATATTTCCTGTGGGGGATGGGCATATCATAATATATGCGTCTGTGTGATATTATCGTCATCTCTATGCTTCCTACTAGTAGAAACAGAGTCAGATATTTCCCTGCATGACACTTTCTGGAAACTTTTCTTAACATGATACAGGTCTCTGGGGATCTCTGCCCAAAACCCTCTTCCTTCCCTCCACCCCCATATCTCATCCTTGTGATCCTGGACCAGAGACAGCATTCTCACCGGACTTGAACATTTCAAGACGAGAAAGAGTCAATATGGGAGCCCTGTTTGGTGCAAGAAGAAATCCTTTATGTTGCAGGGATTTTATATAGCTGGGACCCTGGCCAGGAGCAAATGTTCTTCCTGAGTGGTTCTCAGTCTAGCCCATGTTTGAGAAATAATTCGGGGTTTTCCTTCAGGACTCATCTGGTCCCCACCTTCACATTTGGAGAAACTGAGGTATATGATCAGGTGCAATTCCATAAGGACAGCTGGATGTACAAGTTCCAGAGCTGCTTCCGCAGAATCTTTGGTTTCTATTTCTGCATCTTCTATGGAAGAGGCTTCTACCCAGGCACCAGTGGGCTTCTGCCCTACTCGCTGCCTATTGTCACTGTAGGTAAGTGCTGCTTTCAGCCCCAAGACCACCTCAGCTCTTTCCTGACCTCAATCTCAGCCCTCCCATCCCACCCCCACCAAAGAAAAGGGAAGCAGAGAGGGAGAATCTGGGAGTGGACTTGGCAAGTGAGAGGATCTGGCCCAGGGAAGAAGGAGGTTAAAGGAAGAGAAGATCTAACACTTGCTCCTTCTCTTTTCCCATCTCCAGTTGGGGAGCCTTTGCTGGTGCCCAAAATTGAAAAACCAAGCCAGGAAGTGGTGGACAAATACCATGCACTCTATATGGATGCCCTGTGCAAACTCTTTGACCGGCACAAGACCCAGTATGGCTGCTCAGAGACCCAAAAGCTGCTTTTCCTGTGACTGAATGAGCTTGCATGCCCAAAAAAAAATGTGCCTTGGGGAGAAGACTCATTTACTGCTAACTAAGAGGGGGAGAAAAGGAGATAAGGGAAGGCTCTGTGTAGTAGGGGAGGACATTAAGAATTCTTTCCTTGTCACAAAGCCTTCATAGTTGCTGTCCCAGGGAGCTTCACTCAGTCATTCCACAAAAGGGAGCATCCTGAGGCCCCTCAGGCCCAGCCATGGGCATGCTAAGCACACACATGCTTCCTTCCTAAGCCTAACCCCCAGGCCTCGAAGGACTCAAATGACAGCCAAACAGCCCAAGTAGCCCCCACTCTGGTGCTGGTTGTTGTTATACGGTCATAATGCATATTTTAATTGGGATTTTTTTGCATTCCATAAGTTTAACCTGTTTAAAGCGTAAAATTCAGTAGTACTTAGTATATTCACAGAGTTGTGCAACCACTACCACTAATTTTAGAACATTGTTCAGCACCCCAAATAAGAAAGCCAATACACATTAGCGGTCACTCCCCATTCCTTCATCTCTCCCAGCCACTAGCAAACACTAATCAACTTTCCATTTCTGTGGATTTGCCATTTTGGGACATTTCATATAAATGGAATCAGAGACTACATGGGTTTTTTAGGACTGGCTTCTTTCTTTTAGCTTCATGTTTTCAAGGCTCATCCGTGTTGTGGCGTGTATCCCTACTTCATTCTTTTTACGGCTGAATAATATCCCATTGCACATATACACAACAGTTGTCATCCAGTCAACCAGTTGATGGGCTTTTGGGTTGTTTCCACTTTTGGACTGCTATGGATAACACTGCTACAAGCATTCATGTACAGGTTTTTGTGTGGTAATCCGGAGTCTCCAAATATAAAGGCTTCCCTCATCTCCACAACACTAACAAGTGTTGCAAGCTAACAAGCATACCTTTCAGATAAATCACGGGCAACTTACTCAGGATTACTTTTCAGTTGGCAGAGGCATTTCACTTAAGTCACTTTGTCCTCAGAATGGTCTGCACCATAACCCCAAGGGTTTTGCTACCATCCCAAGTCTATGATGGGAAATCCACTTTATATCTATATTTTAAAGTCTTACTAAGTCCTGCTTAAAAGTTTTTCTTAAAGCTGTATTCTGAGAATTTTAAAAGAATAAATAAAAACACAGCTGTCTCTTCCTTCACAAGACAACCAACAAAAGTCACATTTAATAACACAACAAAGGTAGTACACCTGAAACTAACATAATATTATGTGTCAACTATAGTAAAAAAAAAAAATGTAGCAAAGGAACAAGAGTTAAAAGGCCATTTAAAAACTCATCCAATTCAATAGCCAAAAAACAAATAATCCGATTTTAAAGTGGGCAGAGGACATAAATAGACATTTTTCCAAAGAAGACATCCAAATGGCCAATAGGTACATAAAAAAGATGCTCAACATCACTAATCATGAAGGAAATGAAACTTAAAACCACAATGAGATATTACCTCATACCTGTTAGAATTACTACTATCAAAAAGACAAAAGATAAATGTTGGCAAACATTTACGTGGAGTAAAACAAATCCTCATGCGCTACTGGTGCTAATGTAAATTGATGCAGCCACTATGGAAAACAGATGGAAGTTCCTCAAAAAATTGAAAATAGAACTATAATGTAATCCAGCAATCCCATATGTGGGTATCTGTAGGAAATGAAATCATTATTTCGAAGAGATATCTGCACCTCCATATTCTTTGCAGCATTATTCACAATAGCCAAGACATTGAAACAGCCCAAGTGTCCGCTGAAGATGAATGAATAAATAAGATGTGGAATATAATGGAATAATATTCATCATTAAAAAGAAGGAAATCCTGCCATCTGCAACAACACGGATGGACCTTGAGGGCATTATGCTAAGTGAAATAAGTCGGACAAAGAAAGACAAGAACTGTATGATCTCACTTACATGTGAAATCTAAAAGAAAAAAAAGGTCAAATTTATAAAAACAGTGTGTAGAATGGTGCTTGCCAGGGCCTAGGGGATAGGGGAAATGGGGCAATGTTGGCCAATGCCAATGGGTACAAATTTCTAGTATATGTGCTGCCGAAGCGAACACGAGGGTACAAATTTCTAGTTATAAAATGAATAACTTCTGTGGATCTAATGTACAATATGATGACTACAATTAACAATGATGTATTATATACTTGAAAATTGCTAAGAAAGTAGATCTTAGGTGTTCTCACCACAAAAAATTGTAATTATGTGAGGTGATGGATATTTTAACTAACCTTGTATTGTAGTCATTTTGCAATATATATGTATATCAAATCACATACCTTGAACTCACCCAATGTTATATATCAGTTCTATCTCAATAAAGTGAAAAGGGGGGAAATTTTATTTTATTTTATTTTTTAAAAGACTTTATTTATTTATTTGACAGAGAGAGACACAGTGAGAGAGGGAAAACAAGCAGGGGGAGAGGGAGAAGCAGGCCTCCCTCTGAGCAGGAAGCCTGATGTGGGGCTCCATCCCAGGACCCCAGGATCATGACCTGAGCTGAAGGCAGACGCTTAACGACTGAACCACCCAGGTGCCTTGGGTTTAGGTTAGCTTTTTTTACTTTTCTTATTTCATACTTCTTCAATATTCAGTTTTGTTGGGGTCCCACCTATTCTCACCTTATACTGTTTCAGTCTGAAATACTCATTTCTAACCCAGATTTCTCTCATAAGTAATTTCCCTCAAAACCAATATATCCAACTTATCAATCTCTAACAAACACTTTAACATCAACATAACCAATAGCAGATGAAACATCTTCCCCCTCCCAATCTCACATCTTATCACCAAATCCTGTTAATTTTACCACCTTAATATTAATCCATTGTGTCTTCTTCCCTTCTCCACTGTCACAACCTAGTCAAAGCCCTCACCAAAATTCCTAGACAATTGCCACTTCTTCTACTAGAGTCCTTTCTAATCAATCCATTCATCACACTGGTGCCAGAGTGCTCTTACTAATGCTTAAGCCTGACTTGTTAGTCCTCTGCTTTGAAATCCTTTTTTTTTTCTCCTACAGTGCTTCTACCAGCATATCCTGAATTATGTTCTGGGTACCATTAATGTTCCATGGATGTTAATAAATATTGCATAGAAAAAAATGATTATGTGGTTAAATAACTGTAGGAGATGCTGGATTAAGCAAAGCTAGATAGATGTATTTACTGAAATATTTTCAGAATCTTCACTACGCTAATGGGCATTGTGTCTATCCAAGAGGGAGTATTTAGTATTTCCCAAACTTACCTGTCAGTGGAACCCTTGTTTCAAATAACACCTATTACCATTCCATGGAACATTTAGTCTTTCTCTAAATACAATCTTGCAAATGCTGGTCTACAAGATAAGGTTCAAACCCCTTGGTATGGTAATACAGAGAAAGTGGCTTACCTGATTTGGGACCCTATCAGATTGGGAGAAGCCATGGTAGGAGTCACAGGTTTAATTGAATGGGTCGAAACCTCATAAGAGGTAAGCAAAAGGTAACTGAATAAAAGAGGAAATTGGATTTGAATTTTCCTCACCTCTTTGGGTTGTCCAGGAAGAGCAAACTACTGCAGATTTTTTTCAGAAAAGAATCTCAAGGGCACACATGGGAATGAGGCTATACCTAAAAGAGTAAAACAAAAACAAAAACAAAGTATTCCAGTATAAGCCTTTGCTTTCTTATTAGCATCAACTGCATGCTCCTTCTTGAAAATTCATTCCCCCCATATCTTTTCTCTTCACCCTCAGCCTCTATGCCACAATGCAATCTCTTGCTCTCCCTATCTCTCCTCCTCCCTCCCTGAATACTTTCTAGATACTCTGATACTCTAAGGTTTTGCTCCTCACTCTGGATGTCACAGTAACTTTGTATGAAGTGATCATCAAAGGAACTAATCAGTAAGACTTAATCATGGATTGTGAGGGTAGCAAGAGACATTTACAAAGAGTGGCCAGGCTGGTGATCCTAGTGGGCCAAATGTACAGGGACCTTCAGAGGAAATTCTGGAGGCAGAAAGTGAGCAGAGTACTTGAGTGATATCCAGAGCACTGCCCCAAAGAGGGAAGATCCATATTTACAGTCTGAGAGTTCAATGCTTCCCCATACGTAATAGGTCCATCATGAAGTACAACAAAGACCCTTCATACTCTGACCCCTCTGAATTTCCAGTCACTCCCTATCATGGTCTAAAGTAGTACACTGGACTACTTCATGTTTTCTGGATAATTTCACATTTCTTTGCCTTTGCACATGTCCTCTATACATAGTAAAGCATATACATCCTTTAAGTCCACATCAAATACCACCTTCTTAGTGAAGCCTTCACCAGGCAGAATTAATAACCCCTTGCTGCATTCTTCCAAAGGCTTTTGTTGACTCTACTAATGAAAACTCGATTTTGTCAGTCTTCACTTATGATTAACCCCATCAAGGGTGTAAAGGAGGAAATTTTCAGTCATACTTTCTCTGCATTTATGGATGAAAATCATATGGTCTTGCAGTATGTGCTTTGGAATTTCTCATATATCAAAGTTCTGCCATATAGTGTGATTGGAGACTTCAACACTCAGCTGTTAGAATATGACAAATCAAGTAAACAAAAAGCTAACCTTTAAAAAGTATGGAGCTGAATAATGCAGTAAACAATGTAGGCTAGACTGTCAAGTGATAAGAACTTAATGATTAGGACAAGGAATTACACTCTTTTCAAGTGCACATGAATCATCCACAACTACAATTCCGTATTTGAATTCATTATATAATGTAACATTGTGTGTCAACTATACTCAAAGGGAAAAAAAAGTGTTTGCAAGGATGTGCGAAAAGGGGAGCCCTTGTGCACAGTTTGTGGGAATGTTAACTGGTGAAGCCACTACAGAAAACAGAAATATTATATGACCCAGTAATTCCACTACTGGGTATTCACCCAAAGAAAACAAAAACTCTAATTAGAAAAGATACATTACCCCCTATGTTTATTGCAGCATTTTTTAGAATAGCCAAGATACGTAAGCAACCTAAGAGTCCATTGATAGATGAGAGGATGAAAAGGTGGCATATATAGAATGGAACATTACTCAACCATAAACAAGAGTGAAATCTTGCCATTTGTGACAACATGGATGGGCCTAGAGTATATTATGCTAAATAAAATGAGTCAGACAGAGTAAGACAAATACCATATCATTTCACTTATCTGTGGATTCTAAAAAAAAACACAAAAACAAAAAACAAAAGAAATGAACAAACAAATACAGAGAACAAACTTGCAGTTACCAGGAGGAATGAGGAATCAGTGAAACAGAAGAAGGGGATTAATAGGTAAAAATTTCCAGTTATAAAATAAATAAGTTACATGGATGAAAATACAACATAGGGAATATAGTCAATAATTTTGTATAG